GTGAAGTGCCGGATTGAGTTAGATTCTGCACTTTTGATGCTCCTTTTTTCTAAAAGGAATCACTGTTAAAGTTTTAAAGATTTCCTAGGGGTTTTTCAGGTGAAGTAATTTTGTGAGGTCTGCTTTACTAGGAGTAATAGATTTCGCTATAGTAGATCTAGCAAGCAAGAAAAGAAAACGAATTTCATTCCAGTGGCTGTCTCTCAGTATTGAGTGATAAAAGTAAGATCAAAACCTGTCTCCTGATTCACCTCCCTATATAACCATAACATTAAAATGCTGAAATATTCATCTTGAAAACTACAATCCAACGACAAATAACAGGGTGAACGACAGATTCCACTCAGTGGTAAAGTTTAAGAGTAAAGTATCGACTGAACTTTGGAAAGAGTAATTCTAAGTGTCCAACGTCATTTCTTAAGTTTTTGAATTCTTTGTGATATTACTACCAGCCTAAAATCTAGTGTACAGTGATTGATAGTGAAACTATTCTCGTAGCATTTCTCTAGCAGTTTGTTGATAGATCACAAACAGTATAATTTATGCAAAAATGGATCACCTTTTTGTACAAATAATTGAATTCAGCTAGTGTTTATTGATAATCAATGCTGACAACTGAATCTGGTCTCAGAGATCTTTGGTCAACTTTACTTAACAAAGTGTTCATTTATTAAAGCTTGTTTCAGTTTAATAGTTCACTTATTTTGTCCGGCACTGTCAATACATGTACGTGCATAAGCCTATTGGATAGTTGGAGTCGTATTGTAAGTGTTTCGCTACTGTTTATTGTTGAGTTTCTGAATAAACATCTTTTTTTACCTGTAACTTTTCGGTACACTTGAGTAGGAGGTAGTAATTTATGGTGATTTTTAATGATGTAGTAATGCGATAAATATTGTTTCAAGCGTGCCGGCCTTATTCACAAGCTGAATAAGCTGCTGACTGCCCCAGCCAACCAACATCCATCAGAATGCAGCACGATGGTGAGCCTGTCAGCTTTGTGGCCACACTGCAAAATGATCGATAGAATTGGGTCAGCACTCGGGACTAGACAACATGTGATTGGTTGCTCTGTAGGGGTCCATAAATCCATAAATCAACTGCAAATTACTCTGATTGTGTAGCTAGTGATTATGTCCAGATTCGTGATGCTGGGACTATTTAAAGTAGTCATGGTTTCCATGACTGGTATTGATATCGAAAATCTAAGGACACTGGACGGCTTTCCCACCCTAGATTTTAACTTTTCAACAGTACTCTCGCACGATGTCCTTAGAGATCCAACCCAGGACCGTCAAGTCTTGTGGCCAGTACTTTTAACCATTCAGCCTATTGGTTATGATCCAATGGTACCTGGTTTCCTACTACTGTCAATTTGTGATAAAGGGTGGCTACCATCCAATGATATGCGCGAGTACTTATCTCCGATTTGGTTGGCGCTATAGGTAACCGCTTGCCACTAAATCTTGAGGAAATCTATCTCGAAGTAGTTCACTGATAAGCACTAGGCAGTAAGTCAGCAAATAAACGATGCTTACCGACAGTAGTATTCAAATTCTTTTATTCTAGTCGATTCATGACTGAAATGCATTTTAAAAGTAAGCGAATGTCACTTAACTCACATTTGAGGTTGTGAAGCGTGCGCTATTTTGTTAAATCCATTCTTCATAGGAAGCAGTAGAAAATGTGAGACTGAACTTCAAATCATTCAATCTAATTAACTTAAATTTAGCTTCCTGTCTTCAGTTCGCAGTACACATAGGACTGTCCCATCTAATGAAGGTTCTAGGTAAGGGCAATGTACGTAAAAGATAGTTGTTGTTACACTGCTAATACATTCCGCAGTTATTTCACTTCTCTCCCCATAAATTTACTTCTAAGGAGTAGTATTAATAATAATGACAGGATTACCAGTTGGCAGGATTCTGACCACCAGTATGGTATTTTGTCTATTTAAAACAAACTTCAGGAGGAAATAACGAAATGAATGTGCAAATTACAAATATATTTCCTAGATGAAACATGTTTTTCTCATAACGTTTAAATCCATTTCATGTTTCTTGATATCATCATTTTACAAGACCCACAGAATTGCCTACTGATTGAATGTTAAACAACAGTTTATTATCGATAACTTTTAGAACAAAAATGAAATCTTTTTTGAAATCTCATCGTGATGCAGATAATGATGTTCAAATCTTGACAACAAATCAAGCGAAGTATTTTATTGGCGTTTATAAATCAATAAAACGAAAAAAATATGCGACTGCTTTTTTAGTATTTTCTTGATTTTCATGGAGTTGTGTTCTCTGAACTGGACGGTTTAACCGTGAAAATGCTACTGTCATTCTGAAGAATATCACCAGCACAAATTTCAGGAAGATTTTATTTTATTTTATGCAAACATATCCAAGATGTGAAAGCTACTAACGGGTCAGCATGCTTCAAATGAAGGTGGACGATAAAATAATTACTACTCAGTAGTTATACAAGAATTGAATATTTCGGTTGTAACAATTCTTTACATTTAGCTGCCGAAATTTAAACCTCAAATGGAGCACATATTTTGACAGTATACCCATACTCATTCTTAGTCGGAAATCTTTAGAATACGCAAAATTCTACAAATGACTCTCTACTGGCTTTCACATAGTGTCTTTTATTAATTTTTAAGTGATAGTCTCTCATAAATCTAATAGCTGATTTTGAACCTTATATGTGAACATGCATACTATTTACGCTTTTTAGCCAGTATAAGTATTTTTATCGCTCAACTTGTGAACTTTAATCACATTGTTATTTTCAGCACCACTTACTTTTTATCGAACTTGACTATGAACACAAATCAGTCACCGAAAGTTTCTGTGTTTGAATAGACCAACAACAAAAAACATTGATCCGTTATATTAGAATGTCTATTTGAAATAACATGAAGTGATATAGTATTTTTTTCTCTGGATGACAATTCGAGTAGAATTTATTGCTTAGAATAATATCATAGTAATCATACAACGACACACATACATCGTTTCTATTAAGGGTGCAGATACGCCTTTCTGGCAAGTGTAAACAAGTAAGAAAACGAGGTGCAGGGCTTCCTGCAGTTTACCTTCACCCAACTAACATCTAAACTTCCTTCTGACATCTCGAGTTTTTTCATATTCATAAACTACATAATGGGTGTGATGTAATTTAAACAAAAATCAAGAAAGATAAGGATGTATGTTGGGTTGAGAAATCAAGACAAGAGAAGACGGCAGTTTAAACGCCGCTGTTCACCTGAAGCCATTACACTCTAATAGATACTTGAATTTGACGTAATCTCATCCCAAATCTTTTAGGGTAGGCTTGTTAAAATGTTTCAGTAATCAAGATAGGAATCTTGACAGTAAATCAGAAAATCTAAGTGACTCAGATAAACTTAAGAAACTTTAATATTGGAAATTTAGTAGAAGTTTATAATGGCTCATATTAGAGGGCAATAGAGAGAGAGAGAGAGAGAGAGAGAGAGAGAGAGAGAGAGAGAGAGAGAGAGAGAGAGACAGCAATTGTATTAGTGGTAATTGCAACACGTCTTAGAGAGCATTTGATTTTTCTTCTGTTTCGCTATATAAAGAAAGCATGTTGTAAGTCTGGACAGAATTTCTAACAATTCCGGAATTACAAAGCCATTTAAGCATACAAACTCTCTGAGAGAGAGACTGTCAGCTAAAAGATCCAGGAGATGTAACTAAGAGAAGTAACATAGTCTATCAAATACTATTTAATGATTGTGTAGCCGAATACACAGATCAGAGTGGCTAATCGGAGTTAGCTTCGATAGCGGAGAATAAACATTTGGAGAAATATCGTATGATTGACCTTACTAGTGTAAGTATTATTATTTTATTATTATTAGTCCCTTGGGTTCCTAGTGGAACATAGGGCTTCAGTAGCACGCCTCCAGTGACCTCTGTTCTCTGAGATCTTTCGAACCTGGTCCCACGACAGCCCAGCTCTCATTTCCTGCTCGCACGACCTCCTCCATGTCACCCTTGGACGTCCAACTCGTCGCTTCCCATGGGGATTCCACTCGAGCAACTGACCTGACGCGTGATGTCCTCAGTCGGCCTTCTCAGTGCATGGCCAATCCATCTCCACTTCTTCCTGCATATTTGTTGCGTGATAGGTTCTTGGTTGGTTCGTTCCCAGAGTTCCTTGTTGCTTATTCTTTCTGGCCATCTGATCTCCAGTAGCAAGCGTAGGCAGTTGTTGATGAATGTCTGTAGTTTATTGGAAATGCCTTTCGTGACGCGCCAAGTCTCTGAACCATACAAGAGCACTGACTTGACGTTGGTGTTGAAAATCCGTATCTTGTTCCGCATGCTGAGTGCAGAAGATCTCCACACTGGTTTCAGGCTAATGAACGCCTGTCTTGCCTTTCCGATTCTGACTTTGACGTCCTCGTCCGTCCCGCCTGTAGTTGAAACAGTGCTTCCTAGATAAGTGAAGGAGACTAGTGTAAGTAGTTCAGAGAAAAATTAGCTATCACTCTGCATAAAATGACTCCTAATCATATTACTGCATGAAATAGCGTGGAGAGGGAGGATTGACTGCAGGATCTTTGTCTCTAAAATCACCTCCTAGTACAAGTAACAAAATGACTCATCACACATTGCAGATTTTGAGATAATTATACTGACATAAAAATGAAAGAAGGAAGAAATATTGGAATATTAAACTAAAGTTTGAAAGTTGCATGATTACCTTGATATAATAATAAATTCTCGTTAAAACATTATCCAGTAAATAGTACTACGTCACTGCGTACCGTATCAAATAAACAATCTAATATGAAATGATACTCTGCCACAGTGCTCAAGTTCCACTCATATTAACATTGATACTAGACGTACTGACTGCTTCATCAAGACTACTAATAGTCAAAATTAAGTGACAACTTTACACTGAATAACCTATTGAACCGACTAAAATATACACTAACCCTTTGCTGATTTCAGGTTTTAAATGCGCTTTGTGCGAAATTGTCAGTAATTCCAGTAGTAGTGGGAAGATAGTCGATCGACAAATTATGTGGATATCAATCGGTATGTTAAATTATTCTAGATTTACAAATAAAACAACTTATTTCATTGTTTATTTATCCATTATGATTATGTAAGAGTTCTTCAATGAATTTCATGACTCAACCAACAACAAAGAACAGACAATACAAATGGAAATATTAAACGTAACGATAACTTATCAGTATACAAATAATTTCCTGTGCTGCACGTCATTCCGCATGCATCTTGCGCTTTACGTAACAGTTCAGTATTGTGTATCCCTTTTGCCAGATTCCTCACCAGTCAACCTTTATCACTTTCAACGTTGCTTTGAATACTAGTTAAGTGCCCTCTTATAAATTGCTGTCGCTACAACACTGCAGATATACAGCAGTTTGTAATGATTTACTTCATGCAAAAAACCATTCTTCCAGACCGATTATTTTTGCGAGACTAACAAACTGTTGTTATTTAGAAAGCCTGTGAAAACCATCGAAGAAACGGTCAGACATTTATTCTTATGAAAATATCCTTCTATATTAGAAACTGTGGCTCAGTGCACACTTTACAGTTTCCATTTTCTTTTTTAACCTTGTTTCTCAATGTTTAAGAGTCAGATTTTGTACTGCTAGTAACTTGAGGATTAGGGTGAAACATCAGTCCACTACCTTCCAGTATTTGTTATTGTTCTTGTTCTTGATGCAGATTACTATGGGAACAGTCATGTCTGATAAATGTATTGTAAAAAGTTACCTATAATGCTGACTTGAATTTTAGGATGGGTTTTGATTCGTAGTGAACTAACTTCACAACGTTAGAAATCAGCGTTTACTATATAGTTTTCACGTTGGTAGAATCCGATAACAAATGATGAAGAAAATATCATGAAGACATGCCCCGGGTATTTAAACGAGAAGATTTTTGCCCATGAACTATACAAATGGTTCGAATTGATCCTTTATTCATAGAGTAAAGAAAGGTATGTCTTCACCATGTCTGAAAAACTTAAAAGAAACTTTTTGAAGGCTAACTTTGAAATTTACTGCAGCTAAACTAAAAACAAACTCTTTCAGTCACAAAAATCAGTACCCCATCGCTTATCGTCTTCTTCTTTTAAACGCTACATTTCAGTTATTCTATATAGTCGGTATCGACAAAAGTACTAAAACTCTCAGTAAAGTCACATTAAAAACACATTCTTTTACTCGGCTTCCTTGTGTACAGTGTTCTTGCCTTTGATATCTCTATTAGATTTTGTATCTTCTTCCTTCGCGACTGTTTAGCAACTGATTGTTCTCACTTCTTATGTCCCCCTACCTTGTGCTAAATGTCGCTGATAAGTATTCTTATTAGTAACGTTCACCACTTTGGGTTTGTGATGAAAAAGGAATGAAAAGAATGCTATATAGACCTCTGCTCAACATTTGCAGACCATGTGATTTTGGTCCAGATTAATAAACAACGTCCACTTTTTCAGTTACCACCATTGCAGTCCTCAGAGTTAACTAAGAGAATTTACTTTGAGTGTCTGGTTCATGTACTGAACTTATGAATAAAAATGTTAGTTGTGAAGAATAAATTTAGGTGGTCAAAGCAACTCTTATCACAGAAGCTAGGCGTTATTCAAAAAAGCCGCTAAACATCAAATGGTCGGTTTTAATCTGAATATGTTTTAAACCTAGAATGAAATTCATCAAATGACAAAATTAAATATTAGGACTACTTCTTGTCATCTTGAACCATAATTGAAAGCTAATCAGTTTTGGGCAAAGATCTTTTCATCAAATCTTTATGTTAAGATTTAAAGGAAATGTTCATTTGAAGAAGTGGCTTCCAAATACCCTACTCACTTGTCATCACAAGTCAAAATATCTGAGCAACTGATAGATAAGATTGTTGGAGTTATTTAACATTTAAGTGAGATGCAATCGCAACAGCATACCTCGGAGTACGAAAGTCAGCATAAGGTTGAGTTCAGAGTCCATATTAACGTTTTAACAGTGCTTTTACGATGACAAGAGTGTAATCAACAACAAAAAATTTGAATCAAATTCAAAATGCAGTAATCAATTTGTGCTTTTTCAAACAGTAGTGCTGTAATGTTTTTGAATTTTTATTTTTACTGAGAAATTCCATTTCTAATCCAATAGGATTTCATTTTCTGTTTCCGACTGTTGAAACAAAAGTCCATATTAAATACTGAATCATTTGAATTGGCAGCCTATGTTTTCTTTGAGTCTAGATACGATTTAATTTCATAATACTGTCTATGCATGGGTCCCTGTTTCCGTACTGATCAACAAATTTCCGAAATCAGTAACAAAATATCTTATGGAATCAACAGTTGAGAATATCATCAGTTGTGACTAGTAATTTCAGTTATATATTTATTACAAGGTCTGAAGTGACATCAACACGGCACGTCTCTACCAGTCCATCGGATATGCATGAGGTTGTGCCAGTAACTCGATTGAGGCTAGAATGAAGAACGCATTCCTGCGAACACTGGATAATTATTCCTTAATTTTATGAGTTGCGATAACTAAAACTTCCTTAACGGGTGTCATCCTTTTATGAGACGCTCTCACCTTTCAAGACACCGTTTTACAAGACAGAATTTATCTAATTCTGTGAGTATATGGAATGAGTGTATGGTTACTTTGATGACAAGTGTAATCAATTTTCTGATGACCGCACCATCTGTACAAGGTATCTAAATGCTAACAGATGTTAATCAATTCAACTCTCGAAGTCAGCAGTGTGAGTGATTAAAGCTTCCAGTAACATTTCTAAACATATCAGCAAATAAACTTATATTTACATCTTCATAAAAGTTGAACGTGGACTTACCAGCTTAACTTGAATTAGATTATAAGTCATCGTTTTCGTATGAGAAATGAATAATTTTATATTATTGGCTTACACTACTTCGGTTTTTCAAACATGAACTTATAGTCATTCTGTGCACTAACGCTTGTATTTCTATTTTTCAATTTATTTTAATGCATTTTATACGATTGTATTGGGAAATGAAAAACAGGATTCGGTGTTTTAATTGCTATTCTTATCATAATTATATGTTGCCTACTTGTTCTAGTGTGCAATCTTAGGTAAGTCTTTTTTCATCAATACCGGGTATTTCGCTGTACATTGCTTTTAAAACCAATAAATGATGCAACAAGTGCAGTCGACTGACGAGTCCCAAATAGGACGAAACGTGTGTCTTAGATTCCGCTGCTAGCCACCATCAACCGAGTATTATGCTAGTCATTTCCTAGATTTGATAAAAACTGATATTTATTTTCATCACTGATTTGTACGTACATATTTTTGGCCAGAAATCTCTTCCTCTAAATCTGGTAGAAACGATGTAATAAAGTTTGGCAACGGCTTAAATTCATAGCCACCATCACGGCGGTGGGCGACATATCCCTGCGAAAACTTACAAATACTGGAAAAAATAAACTCAGAAACCATGAAGTTATGTAGTCGAATCAGCCTGGTGCTGAGTCTTCAACTGAATGCTATATATATATATATATACATATATATTTATTATTATTATTAGTCCCTTGGGTTCCTAGTGGAACATAGGGCTTCAGTAGCACGCCTCCAGTGACCTCTGTTCTCTGAGATCTTTTGAACCTGGTCCCACGACAGCCCACAAGCTCTCATTTCCTGCTCGCACGACCTCCTCCATGTCACCCTTGGACGTCCAACTCGTCGCTTCCCATGGGGATTCCACTCGAGCACTGACCTGACGCGTGATGTCCTCAGTCGGCCTTCTCAGTGCATGGCCAATCCATCTCCACTTCTTCCTGCATATTTGTTGCGTGATAGGTTCTTGGTTGGTTCGTTCCCAGAGTTCCTTGTTGCTTATTCTTTCTGGCCATCTGATCTTCAGCAGCGAGCGTAAGCAGTTGTTGATGAATGTCTGTAGTTTATTGGAAATGCCTTTCGTGACGCGCCAAGTCTCTGAGCCATACAAGAGCACTGACTTGACGTTGGTGTTGAAAATCCGTATCTTGTTCCGCATGCTGAGTGCAGAAGATCTCCACACTGGTTTCAGGCTAATGAACGCCTGTCTTGCTTTTCCGATTCTGACTTTGACGTCCTCGTCCGTCCCGCCTGTAGTTGAAACAGTGCTTCCTAGATAAGTGAAGGAGGTTACTTCCTTTAAGTTTCTCCCGTTGATGGTGATTGGAGTTTGTTGTTGTTGTTGATGGTGGTGGTGCGGTATCTTCATCACTTCTGTCTTCTCTATATTCACCTGAAGTCCCGTCTTCGCTGCCTCTTCTATCAACTTGTTAGTTTTTGCCTGCAGATCTTCAAGTTTATGTGACATTAGGCATAAGTCATCGGCGAAATCCAAGTCTTCTAGGTTCTTTTCCGTCGTCCAGTGTATCCCCCTCTTCTCGCTGCCTACTGTTTGCTGCATGATCCAGTCCACCACAATAAGGAATATCATGGGGGATAGTAGGCAACCTTGTTTCACTCCTGTCTTCACTTCAAAGGCATCACTGAGCTTCCCATTGTGGATTACTTGGCATGTGGCATCTTCATATAGTTGTTGAATGAGGCGGATAAAGGTTTGCGGTACTCCGTAGTATTGAAGCAGTTTCCAAATTACTTCTCGGTCGACGCTGTCAAAGGCCTTCTCAAAGTCGATGAAGTTGAGGCAGAGAGCTGATTGCCATTCTATGCTCTGTTCTATGATGATACGAAGCGTTGCAATTTGGTCAGCACATGATTTGTACTTCCTGAAGCCTGCCTGTTCTGGTCGTAGTTTTGAATCCAGTGCATCTTTAAGCCTCTCCAGGATGATGCGGCTTAATATTTTACTTGGGGTGGACAGGAGAGTGATTCCGCGCCAGTTCTTGCAAGCACTGAGGTCTCCCTTCTTCGGCAGTTTGACAAGGTAACCCTTCTTCCAATCGTCAGGTACCTTCTCTTCCTTCCACACCTTCTGCAATAGTGGTGTGAGCATGTCTGCTGTTGTCTCTGCATCTGTTCTCAGTGCTTCTGGGGGGATTCCATCTGGTCCTGCTGCTTTCCCGCATTTCAGTAGCTTTATGGCGTTCAGGACTTCCATTTTCGTTGGGGGATTAATGTTCACTTGTAGTTCAGCGGCTGCAGGTGGTATTTCTGGACGAAGTGCAGGTGGTGGTCGATTCAAGAGCTTCTTGAAGTGGTCGGCCCATCGTTTCCTCTGTTTCTCTTCTTTTGTAATTAAATTTCCTTCTTCATCTTTTATTGGTTTCATCTGTGTTGGTCTATTCCCTGATAGCAACCTGGTTATTTGATACAATGTCGTCAGGTCTCTCTTACCTGCAGCCTGTTCTGCTTCACTTGCCAGTGTTTCGTAGAAGTGTCTTTTGTCTTTGCGTGCACTCTTCTTTACTTCTTTGTTCAGTGTTTCATACATCGTGCTCAGTTCCTCTTGTCGTTGAGCATCCTTGCACTGGTTTATCTTCTGCTTCACCATCCTCCTCTCCTCTATCAGCTTCCAGGTATCTGTCGAGATCCATTCCTTGTCTTCTTTCTTCTTCCTTCCTAATACTGTTGTGCAGGTTTCTTTCCACATAGCTTTCAAAGACTTCCAGTGTTCTTCCACACAGGTTTCTTCAGGGATGTTGCTCGATGTCTCCCATTTTGTCTTGATGGCTGCCTTGAAGATCTCCTTTGTAGTTTCATCCTTCAGTTTCCGAGTGTTGTACTTGGGTTGAGGTCTATCACCAGCTTCCTTGAAGGCTTTTAACTTGATTTGGAAGGTTCCTTGCACTAGGTAGTGGTCTGAACCTACATCTGCTCCTCTTCTTGACCTTGTGTTAAGTAGACTGCGTCTCCATTTTCTTGAGATTGAGATAAAGTCGATTTGATTTTTAGTGTGTCCATCTGGTGAAATCCATGTCGCTTTGTGGATATCTTTGTGCCTGAACACACTGCCTCCAATCACCAAATCGTTGAATGCGCAGAATTCTGCAAACAATTCTCCATTCTCATTCATTTCACCTAGTGCCTCTCGACCCATGGTTAGTTCTCTTCCCGTGTTGTCCCCTCCCAGTTTCGCATTCATGTCGCCCATCAGAATTTTGATATCGCCAACTGACGTCTTGTCCAGTGTTGATTGAAGTTGTCTGTAGAATTCCTCCTTTTTCTCTTGCTCTGCATTATTTGTAGGTGCATAACATTGTATGATTGTGACCTTTCTTCCTTTTGAGTTGAATCTTGCTGTCATGATCCTGGAGGAGATTGGTTCCCACTGCATGAGAGCCTTCGATGCTCTTGAGGACATCATGATAGCCACTCCCTCAGTGTGCTCGTGGTTGGCGTCTGGGTGACCGGAGTAGATTATTGATTCTCCAGTTGATAGTTTGGAGAGTCCACTCCCATTCCATCTGCTTTCGCAAATCCCAAGCACTTCGATGTTATACCTTCTCATCTCCCTTGCAATCTGGGCTGCCTTACTGGGTTCAAACATCGTGCGGACATTCCATGTCCCCACGTTTACTTTCGCTTTCATCGAGAGAAGACACATCGGCCAATTGGCTTCCCGAAGGCTTTCACCAACTGGCGTCATTTCGCCTCTCCGATTCCAGCGGGGAATAAGTTTGTTTTCATTTTTTATATTTTGTTTGTGCTTTGAAGTTTCTTTAGCGGTTAGATTTGTTTTACGGGGTAGGGTTGCTAGCCCTATGCCCAACCTTCCCTCTTTACCCGGGCTTAGGACCGGCTAGTAACTAGTAAACTAGTTAACCAGGCGAGGTTATACATATATATATATATATATATATATATATATATATATATCAGCTAGCTTGTCATTGATATTGGTTGGTAATAATTCGAATATGGCAAACAGGATTAGTAGTTCTTTGGGATGATTTTGAAGGTGTTGTGTTTCCCAAGCTGCGTAGTTTAACAATAAAGCTCTCCTCGTCTCTTTTGGACAGTATCATCAGCGGAGGCTTCATAAAAGTGTCTGAAAGCGTTTGCAGTTATACAAGTGGTGTTTCCAAGTTCTTTTATTTCATTTGTTTATCATGTTTTCACACTTACCTGAGGTTCTGTGCGTTGATCACAATAGTGAGCTTCGAACTTAACTAGTAATTGAACAGAATATACATATTGCAGGCAATGTATATGATAGAGTAAGGAGTTCTCAGTATGAATTATTCCAGAAAATCAACTCCTCGTTGAAGATTTTTGAAGAAACTAATTAAAGCATCTCATAATAATAACAGCATTGCAACCAATACTATATAACAACTATCTGTTTTTAAGTGATCTTCTGCTCTGAAAGGTGGAATGGTGAGAAATCGTGCCTGAGTTTGATGGTGGCGGTTCATTCAGTCAGTGCGAACGTCTGCAGTTTGCGCTAATTATTTTGTGAATAGCTATGTGATGTACAGTCACATGCTTGCGAGTCCATCACCACTGGTCGCGGCGTTCCTTTTCATTTTACTGTTAACTTGCATAGCGGTAGTTTTAAAAATGCTCGACAGTAAATACTGAGATCTGGAGACATACTTTAATAATTAAAATAAGCTGAAGGAGAAAAATTCTATGTGATCATATTCGGCGGAAATTGTTTGGTAGCTTAGGTCTAAGTAGGTTGCTGACTCATGGTAGTTTCACGATTTTGCTGAGATGACTTGATTCTTAACTAATTGATTCTTAACCAACGGCTGAAGTAACAACTGGAATATTATTTTATAGGTTGGATGACCCATGATGACACTTTAGATGAATACCTGGAAAAACCAATTTGTTTTAAAAGGTATCAGTATGCGTCACATGATTCCTCGATAATTTTAAAGCTGAAAATTGAATTTTTGATTACTGAATGCGTGTTTTTGTAATCATCTATGGTGCACATTTATGAATTTTAGATATTCTGTCTACCATAGATTTAGCATTTCCTGCAAAAGTGACTGTGATTGTGTGGTGACTTAATAGGCAGTATACTGATTTTTGAAGTAGGGTGTTTCGTCCTGTATACTTGCCGAAAACAAGAACTCTTACATGGCTGTATGCTATTTTAGGTGATAAAATATATTAAAGATAAGACCTACGTGTGACATTCGTGTACACTGTTTTTTACCAAGCACGTGAAAGTTATCAAATAGTTGATAGATGTCACAGACCATCGGGAAATATGTCAATTACATTCAGTAGATACTGGTAAAAAGTAATTCCTTTGATTGCTGTGAAGTGATCATCATAGGTATGTATTTTTTTGCGTCACTGTAATATGCCTTTATCGTATAGTATCTTTAAACCACTGAACAATAGCTGACTTTTTGAAAGCTAGTAATTTCTTCGTGCTCCCAGCTCATTAAGGAGCTTATAGCTTCATAAGATAATTGATTGATCATCCGGCAAGTCATCCAATTAACAGGGATTCAAACACATCCAAGTTAGAGAGCTAAGACTTCTGTTAAATTTAAAGGTGATCCAATAAAAGTAGACTTTATTTGAATGGTATTAAAAATTCTTAGAGAATCATAAAATCAACTGTTCAAAACACTATTATTTTCACTGACTAGTCAGGTGATATAATTTTGTGATGAAAAATGGTCCGATTTTATAAACATGATTATTCATCACCATCTAGGTTCCTTGTGACTTTTCGGCATTTATGACGGGTAAACAGTGCTTATGCGCAGCACTGTTAGGTAGAAAACTATTACAAATCTGCTTTAGATTATGACACACTTCTACTCCAACTCTTTTGCTGTTTATTCATTTAGGCTTGTGGGTTGAATACAACTGCTTAAATATAAACAGGGAAATAGCTGAGATTTAGACCTCAATTTTCTGAATAGTTTCAGGCTATATGAAGACTGACTTATTCACTGCTAAATCCGATCCTGTTAATTTTGATCTCACAAAAAGTAATATGCTATTTATACTAGTAGTTCCTAGACTGGACGAGACTGGAAAGGGTATCTACCCTTGTCTGACTTTCATGTTTCGTTCAACCGGTGTTACCTTCTGACCGAAATCAATTTCATATATGCATCCAATCAGCAAACTATGAACAGCTAGTAAACTTGTGTTAATACCTATTATTCAACGCACTAAGTTCCTTACTGTTTTCCCTGTGATATACAGCTTATATTTATCTACTCAATATAAATCTCAAGGTTGAAAACCAGGCTGATAGTCATTATTCTTATATATTTGAAGCAGATATTTGATCTAAATGATGTTTATGAGGTTTATTACGTTATCCTTGAGATAATTGTCCCTTCACCCTAATATTAAAGGTCAACAAATGTTGATTCGGAATCAGATACTTTTGAAAAGCCTGTTGTTAACCGGAACAACTGTTTTGTTGGTGATCGTGTCCTGGCTACGTCTGCTCAACGTTATCACTTTACTCATCAGAAACAACAAATGTTAGCTGAATCAAAGTAAGCAACCGTTTTTTGTAAACTTGCATATAGATTATACGGCTTGTTTACTAGTTAGTAGACCAATATGATGGTGCATAAGTTCTGACCAAGGTCTACTAATCATCTTAGAAATTCCACCACTTAACTCATTGACTTCTAAGCGCCTTCGAAAGTAGTAATGGGAAGTACTGTACCTAGGTTTACTGTTTTACGGAGACTTCTCAGAAGAGCATGTTGGTTACCTTTGTTGAACTAACTGTCTCTTATATATTCAAACCAATGTCAACCAGCATAGCAGTCAGAGAATTAATCACTGAGCTATTTGGGTTGCAGTTGCGCAAGGCATAAAACTAAAGCCCAAAGTTTCTTCACAACTACTTTAAACCAATAAACAACGAATGAGAAGTGTTATTTTATTAGACAAATGGTTTGCATTAGGTTTATTCATCGCATTATACAACTATCCTTAGGAAAAAGCAAACCTCTTGTTATAAGTAAAAGAATGTAATCATCCAGAGAATGAATGTCAATAACGAGATATACACCAGTAATTTGTACAGTTGTCTTCATCAGGTCAAACATCTTTCTCACATTCACTTCAGGAAATTAATCAACATTAGGCTGAGTTATAGAGATTTAGGCCAAAATAATGGGCAACCTGTATGACAATGGAAGAAATGGTCCAGGTAGAAAATTTAAAACTATAGGCCAAACAAACAAGTTCACATTAAGTTTCAAGCAATGTGTAAACCTTGAAGTACTTAGGGGTTATCCATCATATTTATGTAGGAGGACATTTTCAGTCTCAGTTAACTTGTTATAGGAAGCATTACACTTTTATGTATTGCACGCCTTTTATCGAGCTCCATTTTATACACTTTCTTATTCAATATTTCATCACATTTGCCTAAAATTAGTCAGTCAGGTGTTAATTAAGTTTTCATATTTATTTTTAGTTAGTCTCAGAACGTTGTAATACTAATATCCGATGCTGTACACTTTTTGGTACTTATCTGGTAGATATTAGAGTATCTCATAAGAGTGACCGTCATATTTTTAAGTCTTGATATGAAGCTTATTGAATTAAGTTCATCATGCTTATCGAATGCTACGAAATGTATCAAAAAGTTGGATTATATATTTATTTTTGTCGGATAGTCGGGGAATTTTTCAAAACTAAAAGGGGATATGACTTTAATCACATTCGACAGACTGTTTCCTAAGCAGTTTGGAGGTTAAGCTTTCATTTACATTATGGAATGAGTAGAGGTGCATGCATTGAAGTAATTTGAGATTCGTGAGCAAGATTAGTCTGCCGACTATGCCGCAAGTGTATCCCAAATATGACCATCATTACCAGATGTTCTGGCTTTCTACTGACGGTTGAAAGGTTGGAAAACATTGGTTCTAAAAACAACGAATCTCTCATACATCATGGATTTCCGTTACCAACTGTAAAATTATTGACTTACAGTTTCTGAAATATGTAATCAAATATTCAAAGAAACATACATATCTGACCAAACTCAAACAGATTAATCTTGAATTCCTCGGTCTTGCTTCTGTGTAATTAACATGAATCCACTTTTCATCAGCTGTTTCAGAAGAGAGAACACTTTCCAAGATCTGGATATACAGAAAGTGTCAATCTGTCATTCAATATATGTTTATGCTAATTACCACATTGTTTTCTCCGTCTATATTAAAAAGGAATACAGCAAATTCTCTCCGAAGACCTAACCATTACTAAAACAATAAAACGGTCCGACTATCTCTTATAATAATCTTTTTCTCTGCTTTTAAGTCTAAGCAGTTGAAAGTTTGGATAGAACACTCTGAGAAATAGTTAACTTGGTCAACAACTAAACTTTATTCTTTCACCTTTTAGTCACTATCTACAACTGTTACTTAATTCAATAAAGCTACTTTGAGTTCAAAAGGTGAAAAACAAAAAGACCTGTTGGTTTATTGGTGTATATCTGGTGCTGGCTACTTCAATTTAGAAGAAAGCGGACTGAGTGTTGATAGTAATGATGTAGATATGTTGGAACAATAGACACTTAAGATTATTCTTATTCTCTAAAGAGCAGTAACTGCCTTCTGATTACAGTACAACAGTGCTGATTCGCTGACAAAACTATAAGACTCAACACTTAATAATATGATAAAGGATAGAAGAAATAGATTTGTTCCAGGCCAAAAGTACAAACTTTTCCCGTCGCAAATGTATCTTCGATACAGATTATTGTAAGCTGGCACTTATGATAACTTTAAGAGATATTTTTATTGCTTTTTCATCTTTTAATGTTATTTACATCAACAGCTTGAAAAACCCTTCAGCATAGTCTACTCACTTGGACAGAAAATCAGCTAACATTGAAACGCTTCTCATGTGTTTGACTTGTGACCTAACAATTTGCCTTTAGATGTCTTTGAGGATAATGGTCGAAAATTACCTATCAGTATGACCAAGTTACTAGCTAGATTTATAGGAATCAGAAGTGGGCCAATGCAGCTGGTTCACGTCAGTGATTACTCCGGTTTATAAGCCATAATAGAAGTCTTCGTGTCATAATCTTAACGCGATTTCTAAAACAGTTGGGTTAGTAGTCGTTCGATATCTAGCTGAAACTTCAGAAAACCGGGCTGTTATCCGACTTAAACGATAGTAAGATGATCATATCTTCTACCTTTTAATAGGTACAAGAACACATGCACAAGTAGTGGCGCCTAACATTAGCCACATTTATCGACCAGAGGGAGTTGTTTTTATCCATCCATAGGTTTTGTAGTGATGTCTAAATCCTGCGGGATTACCAAGCATTACCTTTGGGGTAACACTTTCTAATTGCACTCACACAACCGCCCAAGGGATTAAGGAGGGGTATAGTTTGAAATAAGTACAACTGTTGTTGTCTTCCAAGGATATCCATTGTTACCACTGGGATCTAATTTATGGAAATATTGTTGGAACTGATTTTATGTCTTCAACTTCTCAGAGATGAACTTGATCCCTAGACGCCATCTGGTTGGCATGTAGTACACATAATTCACTTATTGTAGATGAATATTTCAATCTGTTTGTTGCATTTTAATGACTGTGTGCAATACAGCTTGAATTATTTTAATCATGAAGTTACTGAAAGTGCTGACGCTGACAAATAAATATATTTATCTCCCCTGCAACCTAAAGTAAGTTCAGACAACAAGTTATTAGAACAGATCAGCAATAAATTTGGATCTTATCTCTAGCCAGGAGTAAGTTAACTGAAATGCTTAATCTGAGTAATCCTTTTGGTGTTAAGACTTCAAAACTGTTAGATCTAGGACTTTTCAGACGTATTCCCTCAAAATTTATCGGATCACTCTTAGACTTCAGTTTAACGAGCAACACAGATGTATGTTACCTGGTTATTAGCATAGTTCAAATACCCCAAATTCTTTGTTATTATATAGTGAATTAGGTTGACAGTACTCGAAGTTTCAGAGAATGCACTAAGTGGATATTTCTGATAAGCAGCACGGAATCACTATCTGCTATTGGCAGAGATACGAAATATAACTCATATAAAATGACCATTGTTAACTAATCAGTTTTTCTTCACTCTCTGGGGTGCATATACTTAACTTTTGTCCGTGCAAGAAATACTTTATCTATGCACTTGGTCTAATGAAATGAGCTATTTTCAACATTTTTTTAATAAGTTACTTGACATCACAGTTGTATGTATCCTTAAATAGAATTGTTGGAAGTAATAAGGAAAAGGGAATTCAAATTCTTTATAAAATCCATTATTCTGTAATATCATCTCTTTCTAGAATTTCAAAAGAGGAAATACACTTGAAATAGCAAATGAGGTCTTTCACAGCTATTATTTAGGTAACATATTATGTTTTGTAGCATCGAATTATTACATACCGTCTGAAAAAACTATTTCTGATGCTGGAACAGCTGTTTTGCAGCCATATGATGGTAATATCCCTTCTACTTTGAACTGTTGATTCCTTACACAGACTGATGAGCAAGTTTCTGCACTCAGTAAGTTAAAGAGAACTAGTTTTTTTCGTTTTCATAACTTGAACAGAACACAATTCTTGGTGCTGTGAAAGTTCTTTCAGAAATCTCCTACTACTAGTAGTAGGCTGTTGATACTGAGTTTTATTAGTGCCTCATAATTCAATTGAACTAAAAATTTGCTTCTACTGAGTGAACTGATGATGTAATCTTATACGTATTCATGCAATGCATTTCATACCAGTTCATACATATTTGCCAATTAAAAATCCCAAGATTTCAGTCAAAAATACCAACTACTGTAAAGAATTTTAAATAGTAGCAAATACTTGTGGCTTAGAAGTACGGTTTGTGTGGTGTTGGAATCTCTTGATTAAACAGTTTAGTAGACGTTAACCTACAAGATTGTGACGAATACTCAACAGTGTTGTCTTGATTTGAATCCCAATGGTATGTAGTGGGTACCAGTACTTAGAGAGAAATAATTGGTTTTCATTTGAGACTCATTAATTAAAATTAAGTATGATTAAAAACCGCTTGGACTATTCTAATCAGAATCTGCATGGAAGTAATTTGCTCATGCATTTTTAAATGTAATTTTAGGTTTTCAGATGTTCTTGAAAGAGGTAATAGCCCTCCCAAAATGTTGTATCCCGATTTAAAACTGGTAAGTGAGTATGTATGGTGTTACGTCTACTAACCAACGTATACTCCAAATTCAGCACAGTTTGCATAAATGATTGACGGCTACAAATTACTGTGTAGATTGCTAAATTATCCAAAAGTAATTAATGTCTTGGTGATATCTTCACTGTAAGGTGGTCATCACGTCAAGAAATATGAAATGATGGAGCATTGGTTATTCAAAACAATCTACGGAAGGCCGTTTCATAAGTTGACTGACCTTCATTAATGAATACCTGGATTCATTTTCAGTCTCATATACAGGTTTATTCACCGATAAGGCCATCGTCGCTCATAAACATTAGGATTTTAAATGAATTATGAAGTTTTATCAACGAGTATATACAGCTAAAGTTAGGCACGTAACATAAAACACATTCATGAAAGTTTTAGCAAATATATGTAAACAATGCCTTGTGAAATTCCCAAGCAGAATAACACTCTTAGGCGCAAAAAATATACTGAGCCCAATAAGATGCTTCAGTTAAGTACGATAACGAATGTTCACGGAAAAATCATAATATCAAAAGACAAAGATTGGTCTGTAACTGCGAGAACAACTTTATTTGACAAAAATGAATCATGCATATACAACTTTAATGGACATAAAAATGCCCTGGGTAAAAGGTAAAATAATTTACCCTAAAGCTGGAAATTCAGTTTGGACGCTTGTGCAGATTGGTTGACTTCAAAATAGTATTCATCACAGGGCGATATCAGTAGAAGGACCTAACTTGTCTGTGACTCATCATTAGTGAACGCCTTCCATCCCGATAGCGGTACAACCCTGGATATTTAGGTCTCCATGTGATCATGTTACCATCGAGCCACTGGGTGGGAATTTAATGGTCCATATTCTCTAACTTCTACCAAGTAGTCATTTCCACTGATGTCAGATCAGAGTCACTTCCACCTTGAAACCAATAAACTGAATTACTCTCTGGTGGTTGGCTGAAGGCAATCGGTATGACGCCCCGCCTGACCTAGGTTTCGTGCTTTTTAGCAATCACCAGTAAGCTGATCTGCAACCTCGAAGGAACTGGTTTTCCCTCCGAGATTTGTACGCGTGTCATCTAGTGTTGTAGTTAGTGACATTACCGCCTAGCTGTTCTGGCCACGACTGATCTCTTGCTGGACTGGATTAGATACACTGAATAGTCATTGGAGGGCGACCAATTTCAGTTCCTTCAAGGTTGAAGATACGCCTTACTGAAGAGTGCTAAAAAACAAGAAACATAGGTGTAGGGCTCACTGCCTGTTGCATTCAGCCACCCAACATCCATCAGAATCCGCCACGATGGTGAGCCTATAGTCTAGTGGACGCACTGCAAATAATTGATAGGATTCGGTCAGCAGTCAGGCCTGGACAAAATTATGTTGCTTGCTCTCCAGTGACCGATCAATGAATTACTGTCTACTGCTCCTTAGTGACTCGCTGAAGATGAGATTTCTTGAAGTTTTAATTAGAAGCCACAATGTTTATTTTTATGGAAGTTGACTGTAGGGACAAACACGCGCTGATAGCGGTAGAGGATGAGCGTACCATTTTACAAACTAACTAATTTAGTAGAATTCTTGTTGTGGGATTCCTATCCAGTGGCCCAATGGTGATGTGCTTCCCACTAAACCTGGAAGTTCTGGATCCTTAGAAAGGAAGTGGATAAGCGCTGCCAAGAAGTCTCAATCTAGGTTAAAACAGCTGTCCAAAACTCTTAGATCTTTAATGGTTCATCGATTGACGTCACTCCGTATTGTAGATGACTGAAAGCTCGAAATACTCCGATAAGAGTAATTCTGTTCATAATGCAGGATAGATCGAAATCTTAATGGTTCATAACTTAGAATATTGATTGTCAATTTAACTTCATCCTTCTGGCTGAAGCAGAGAAATAATGGTTACAAAGTAAAGAAAGTGCTATCTTATTCTTTTAGGTTACATTTCATATATACTGTCCATTAACAGAATATGAGGGACACTTTAAAAACACTTAGATTTTAACTACACGTTACTGGAGAATGTATCCACACCTTTTTCACAATAAATGAAGTAATTGATGTATTCTACTAATTTGTTGTAATCAGTGATTGTATGTCTCTTTTTTGCCTCATTTCACATGATGCTTCCATCATTCTTTCAATTCACTGACTTCACTGCCATCCACTGCATTTTTATTAATCATGGCTTCTACAAAGCTGAAAAGTTATTTACCATATGTTGCTTCAGAAAATGGTTTGAAAGCGCTTTTACAGGTTCTGCCCATATCGTGTCAAGAATCAAGATTTCCCTCAAGTTATTCTCATAGTTATACGATCTATAACTTAATAAACCACACAACATGTGTTTAGAAAGATCCTGTCTAGTGATCACCTATGTATTATACAAGTTTTATTGCGACTGATAACTCTTTCCTAAACGTGTTGGTTGGGTTCTTGAATTAAGACAACCCAACAAGCTATACTTGTTGAAACATTTATTCCTTAAGGTCCTACTATACTGGATAGGTCTGCGGGATTTTGTTTAGGTAAAAGCAGTTATCGGTATGGTGTAATAATAATATAGGGCCGAATGCAGTCTCACTCCTGGCTGGAAGATGTTAATACTAGGAAGGTGTTTACATTGGATGACCAGGACACCATGCTGATCCTACCTTGGGTATGGGAAATAATATATCTATGTTGTACATATGTGATAGTGTACACCTGAACAATAACCTTCAGATTTAACACTTCATGGTCACCCAATTCGTCGGTAAATCGAAAAGGCGGTAAGATAACACAAGATGTATTGCAACATCAAAATATGCACGAAATATGACGGTCTATATTTGTTTACAACGACCTTCACTACTTCTGGGCCTTTCTAATGACTTTTGTCTTTTTAGCCAGTCTGATATTTACACGCAGGTTTACGTAATCTTTCTCGAAACTTCAAACCCAGTCAGCCGGTTGTGAAAGTTTTCACGGATTTAGGGCTTCATATACGTATCTGGACAATCTTATTGCACGCTAAAACAGGAAGAGAAGCTAAAAAAAGGTTCACTTAAAACGCAGCGCACTCCCTCTTCCCTCCGGTATTCTGACGATAGAGGTTTCTGTCTTCTCAGTGAATTCAGTATACACAAACTTTAATTCGAAAATTCCAAAAATTTTGTGTGTGACAGGCTTCAATCAGATGATTCACGCCCTCCGTGACCACACAATAATAATGACTTTTCCCTTTCATCAACTTTGACGAAATAACTTCTACGTTGTCGGTAACCTGAAAGTATCGACCCCCAACCTACTTGCAATAGTTCACAGAAAGCAGTCTAATATAACTCATTCTCCTCATTTATATCTCCTCCTTCGTCTCCAACATCCTGATATTGATGTTAAGCTTCTTTTGAGTTCCTCAACTTCTCAATCTGCTATTATTGCCAATGATCAAAGTCATCTAAATCTCATTCATAGTCTCCTAAGACCCACCGTCGATTTCATATTGGGGCTTTCAGCGTCCGAACTCTGTGCCAAGTCGGACAGTATTTGACATCAGCCAGAACTGGTGTCTCGAGCCATGGGCGTATGACTCCCTCAAGACATATGAACAGAACCCGAGTATGGTTATTAACTTTACCTCAACTGACCATTGTAGTAAATCTTCAAAATTCACTTCACAAGTCCTCGGAGATTCAGTGGTTAGCTCTTGTGTACTGGTTGGTGTAGGCATAGCACTGGGTTATAGATTAGAAGACGCACTTTTCAACTGGACACTGGTCAACAGCCGTCTGTTTGCTGTCTGACTGGATGTGTCTGTAAAAACTAGGAAGGGTTGGAGACTAGGCGATCCCTAATCGTACTGTCCGCCTGCACGTCTACCCAATTCAGTTCAGATGAAGAGAAAGATGTATTTTATGAGAAGCTGTCAGTTTTGCTACAGAGAGTAAGACGTTCAGATATAGTTATAACAGTAGGCAACTTCAACGCTCAAGTAGGGAAGAAGAGCCAATCGAAAAGCCATCCAGGGTGTATTTATGAAATTCCATGCCAACGCACTGACAGTGGTGACCGTCTGCTGCAGTTTTGTCCTGATAGTTAGTTGCTTTTCGTCAGCACTAACTTCGGATAAAAACAAAAGCACTCTCTGACTTTGCATCCACCAACATCAAACCATTGTTAGGCACAGATAAATCACATTAAGACGAACCATCTTTCGAGGGGATCGGTGGAGGATTACTGCTGATACTGGAGTACTTGTTTGGAATCCGAACATGAGCTCGTACAGTCAGGAGTATGCTCACACCTCAGTAAGCGTAGGAAAATCACACGTTGGTAAGACCTGTGTATACTCAATCGAAAGCGAAAGCAGCCCAAACATAAACAGACCAGCAGCCTTCGCAATGACACAGAGCAGTGGTGGGTGGCGAAACTGCCAGAGATGGCGAAGGCAATTATTAAGTCTTGTTAAGGAAACAGAAAAGAGGAGGACGATGGTTAATAAGATCATCAGTGAAGAGGATGTCTCTGACAACCTCTGTGGACAGGCAGCTTAAAATTTGAACAGAACACTGTGAAGCACGGCTAGCTTTCCTCCAAGAACGTTCTAGTTTCCCAACCTTTAACCTGAACATGGATGGGACGGAGATGTCGGTCCTCCAACTCTCTTTGAAGTTGATTAGGCTGCTTCTGACCTGAAATGAAGCAAACCAGCCAAATCTGACGGTTTGCCTCAAGAACTTACTGAGGAAGAAGGTAGGAAATCACTTAGTAGAGTGATGGAGGCAATAGACAGTGTATAGGAATCAAAGGTAATCCCGTTAGACCGGTCTACTTCACTGATCATTCCAGCCTATAAGAACGGAGAGGTCTATTTGTGACAATCATAGGGGAATCAGTTTGAAGCATACTACGTTCAATATCCTAAATCCAAATTTAATTTGACGACTAATCTGGGCTTCGAGAATGGAAAACTTGTGAAAACCAGGCAAGTTTCACTCTCGGAAGAGGATGAATCGGTCAAATATCCATCCTAGGTCAGGTTATGGGCCGCATGCGTAACTGAAACTACTGATGATACGGAAGCATCCGTGTAGAAGCCAATATGTCAACAGAGGCCGATCATTTTGGACCAACCAATGATGGAAAATTACAAGCAACAGATTTGAATTTATACTCGTCACCCCATGAGTGGCTGCCATGGCTCAGTGGTCTGGTGGGTAACGTTTTGGTACTTACAGCCTCCAACCCCGCGTTTGGCTCTTACTGGGAACAATAACACTGACTGGTAGGCAAGTTTATCCAACTGACAAATATCAAATAGAACTGGACGCGCGTTCTGGATTCCATTGAAAACCCTATCCACCATTAGATTGATTTTGTCAAGTAAAACTTGTGGCGTCCGGTAAGAAAGAAGATATCACGGGATAAAGCCCACATACTGACCGATATCCCACTATTACGCTGACTAGTGAATTTCCCATTCCTTCAAGCGATGAAGAATAAAATACTGAGCTTTGTAGCTCAGGTGGTAGACTACTAATTATGTAACTTGACGGTTGTCGATGCGACATACTAAATCACTAAAATTTTCGTCCAAATTTTCGATACAACACGGGTATCTGCCAAATAAATTTAAGATAATCGTGAGCTAAGAGAGGTTGGAAATACGAAGCGTTGAGTTGTTATGCAGTGGCTCAATGGTAAGGCGCTGGCCAGGGAACCTGAAGGTCGTGGGTTCGAGGGTGCGGGTCGTGGGTGCGCACTGCTGAGCAGTCTCATACTACCACGAAACAGCTGTCTAGTGCTCCCAGGTTCCCTTTGTTCCTCCAACTGATGTCAGTCTACGATGAATAATAACCTGAAATAATCGGAATGTAAAAGAAGAGCTTTTGTATTTCAATAATCCTATTGATAGATATTACTTGATGTCACTTTTACATCTATTTTGAACACAGATCGGAAAATTGGAAATTGAGAATCCAGGATTCATAGGTCCATCAAGCAGTAATAATGGCGACAACAATGAAAAAGCAAAAAGCTAATCTATGTTACAATGCTTTTGTGGATTTCCAATGCTAGATACGATACGATATGGATCTACTGAGCTGAAAATTTTGAACCTGCATTCGCCTTGTCGTCCTTCTAGCCAAACTGCTTAGATTGGTTAGAGCTTATCCCGGTTCATGTAATTTTTGCCTCATTTTCTGTTATATTAATGTAATTAGGCTGATACTTACATTAGAGAATGTGTTCTTGTAATGATGTTTACTGTTTCTGGTCTTATTCTGATGCATGAATTGCTCTGGTTTTTTGTATGTAGTTCTCGGATTATTTTTACAGCTACTATAAACATGATGATTTTGATGATTGCTGGTCATTTTCAGGTTAAATATTGCAAATATCCTACTAATCAATGGAATAGTGTGATAACATCACAAAGAGGGCATTACCAATGACAAACCGCCGACTCTTGTGTTCATGTATCAGTTAATGTGTTTTGGTTTTTGAAATGAGAGAGTTTTGCAACTTAGTAAAAGCAGTAATTTTAGAGGATTGTCTCCCCGATGTCCAGCAATGATGAAAGCCAATTTGAAACTAATTTTATAAAAACACCAACTATATTCAGAATCCATGTCTCGACATCCTTCTGAGAAATGGTGGCAATGCAGTCAACTTGATTGAGATAAAGATAGATATCAAACAGTGATATCGAGTGATGGCTGCACTTTGATATGAACAGACAGCAGTTGGAGTAGGGAAGCTGCAGGGTTCTAATTAACTAGTTGACTTATGATATGTTTACTGAGTCATCTGAAAATCCTAGGCTTGTAATTTTTTTCTTGATTACTGCTAAAGAATCCAAATTCGAGAAGTTCAACTATCTAATTCTTCTAGTTTGTGATGATTTTCTGAACGAATTTTATTCACGACTATAAAACAGTTATTTACAGTAGTTTAGTTTGGGTTGACTAGCTTTAGCCTCAATCACTTCCAATTCAAGACACTTCCTATTAATTTAGTGAGTCTTATTATGTTTAGGTAGTAATCAGGTGGTTCTATGTTTAGTATACCCAACAAAATGGATGATATGTTCAAATACAATATTATTTATTTTAGAATTTCAGAAGAAGGAAGCTGTGTAATTCCTTCTACCAACTAACACATACAATGTACAGGTACGTTTAGTATAAAAAATCCAAGTAGGTTTCTGCCTCAAGTAACACGCAAATGTCATTACCAGTTGTTCTGAAGAATTGTAGGGAAAACAAATACTGACGCAACATTTAGTTCTAGATCAAAAAGCTAGATAAACATCTTTTCTGGTACCAATATGGATACAGTAATAACCTACATTGATAAACTCAGTCTAATATTCCGCGAAGATTTTATTCCCTTACATCGAATTGACAGTTAACTCAGTGGTTAAAAGAGTAGTCAGGTAGGCTGATATACTTTGTATTGAAAACAATACTTAAGAGTCAAAAATACACTAAGGATTTTGAGTGAAAACTAGTTAAGGACAATCAATTTATATCTGATTTCCAAAGTGTTTGGATTTCAGGATAACATTATGAATGAAATAACATTTTTGACCACAGATGATATATTCATGAATAAATAGGAATACATGACTTTCGAAGCATTTATTTTAGCTTCATTCATCTAGTGTGATTATATGAATGGCGTATTTAAACTAATGAAATCTAAGTTTTTCATAAACACGTCATCCAATTTAGTGATGGAATGAGGGGTGATTAAGAACTCTAAAACCATACCACACTGAAGATTGAAGATAATTCTATTCTAAGGATACCATATTGTAATCAATGCATAAACTGTGATTCTAATCATTTTAAATAAAATAGGGCAATTTTTCTAGTAGGTCTGAATGATTCAACCAGTTATAATTCTAAGGTAAAAATGTTGACTAGAGATTTTAGGAAAAGTATACCTACCAGGGACAACACAGAAACCAGCGAATAAGACAGGATTCAGAATTTCCATGTTGTTTCTATGTAGTCAAGGAATATCTAAAACACTTCGCAAGATTTTTGTTCAGTTTAAAGTAATAATGACATTAAAAATTATGCACCTATCCTGATTAATAGATGTGAATAACGATAATAGACAGAGTAGTTAAGTTTGTCGATTTACAGACAGTGATTACAAAAGTATACATTCACCCAGTTGTTTAAGGAAGTATCTGAGGTAACCGCGGTTTGAGAGATTGGTACAATTGGTGTGGCATAATAACTGAAGCTGAGATGAAAACCTGGATCTTGGCAGCTTTCAGCCTAGCAGCCTCCTGACTGCCTGCTCTGGGCTGTGCTAAGCGAACTACGAGACTCAGCCACTGACCAGGTCTATGTATCCAAAACAGTTGATCCCAATTAGTTGTTTCAGACTCACATCCCATGGAGTGTGTTCATTGAAACGTGTAGACGTAATGTGGAGTGGTATCGTAACCACGTGAAAAAATGTCAAAAAAATGACAAATTGGTTGGATAATAACAGCGGCAGTAACAAGGAAACAAGACTCAATATGAATACGTCTGAGGCATAAATAAATTTATCCTAATATGTTTCGCACAAAGTATGTCAAAATTTGTTAGTGATTATTTGAAGGTCGTCTTAATAACGGATTGACATAAGCTGGAGAACCGCTAAAAGCCAGCTCCCAGTGCTTCTTGAAATAGAAAAATTTCAACAACCACAAGGTTGAATTGATGTGACTACTTGCTTACTTATTCAGATTGCATGCAGCTGATGAACATTATGCGGAATAAGATGACGGCATTTCACTTTACAAATGATATATCAACTATGTTACTATCATATTGTATCTTGGGTGCTGCTTTTTATTTTTTTTCGTTACCTATCATACGATATGTCACACAAATATGCCCTATTGTCAAGTTGAAAAAGCAGTATGGTATGTGCATTATGTGAGTTTAAGCGTGGTAAACTGAAACCAGCCTAATAAGTTATCCAAAAACTGTTCTTGAAATGATATTCTCTATCTTGAAGAACATGTTGCTGAATAATTACTCCTTGGTTTTGAGCATTCTTTTGAATATTACTACCTCATGCGCCTACGGAGTCACCACCCACCTTGACGTGCCATAATAGGGGAAATTGAATTAGGTTGGAAGAGGGTTCAGGGTGGCCAAACAAAGACGAAGCACCAGCTCATGAGGTTTCTTACTGTAGGTCCGAGCCGTGTGATGAGATTTAGACTACATGATTGGGGTCCACCATACGAAAGAAATTAGTGGTTGGTGATATGACTGAATATGTCACCATGGTGTAGATGTATTCACTGTTTGGCCTCTTCTTAAGCTTGAATATTTGCACTAACTGTGAACTTCAAATTGTTTATTCTCTCATACTACTTTGTTTACTGTCCTGTTGCTCTTTTTCTATCCACCTGTTCTTTGTGTACTGCTGTAAAGCGTGGCAATTTGAGTCGATGCACTTGTGTGCGAGGTTTTTCGTTGATTTTGTCAGTCAGTCACTTCATGCTAGTGAAAGTTCCAGCACGGTAAAACAGTTGTGAGATGACAGAGAATATTTGTAGCTTAGGGAGGAAGATTTTGCTAGTACTGTTGTCTAGAATGACAATGAAAGCATCACGATTAAACCATCCAGCTCAGAGAAAATAACACCATCGAAAACATTTCACAGGCTTACTTGACATTACAATAAAATTTAAAAACCACTGGACATTCACCTTGATTAACTACCCTTATTTTGGATAACATCTATTATTTACAAAGATGATTTCACAAACAGAAAAATCGGTCAGTTGAACAAAGACCTTCGAGTTGTATGTGGTACAAAATGCATCCTCTAAACTCACCAATCAGCCAGAAACAGCTGAACAACTAAGATCAAAATTAAGGCAGTAATCTAGGACCCATTTAAGAAGCACATAAACAGGAAAAACCAGTCAATTCAGTAAAATCAGCAACCAAAAATTGCAAGTTTGAACAAGCTACTCAAAACAATTTAGTAATACAATTGACACTCGCTGTTTTTGTACAATTTGCTTTTATTTGCGTGTGTATTTAATTATGCCTCATCGTTGTATCTAACACTGCAACCATAAATACACCCACAGGTACAGGTGAATGTAGACACCCACATGATCATTAGTGTTCACACCTACTCAAGGTAAAATTTAAAACATTAACGAATGGTCTTCAGAGCCCAAATTATGTGATATGATCTACCATTGACTGGTTTTCTGATCAGAATATGAAGTGTTTAATTTTCAGGCTGAGTGGTTTGACAAAAAGCTACCATCAGCTAAAAATTAACCCAAAGTTTATTTGAAGGTATCCTGACCAACAATGGACTGGATGGTTTGATATGTAGATATGAGAATTGAAACACTCATTAGTTTTTATGAAATGTTTGAGTATTTTGATTACGATATGGTAAAAAAAGGCTTCAAAAAGATGCCAGAAAAATGTCTGTTTTACATTGCTAGAGCAATTATCCACTTAAAAGTGAGTTCCCCGTTAACTGTTCCTATTCAGTTTGTAAGTTCATAAACCCATAAATCCCACTAACTCTTGTAACGTTTTGTGTTTTTTATTTTGCAACTGTAATAAACTTGGGATTCAAACCCCAACTTTTTATTTCGAATACTATTCCATCTCCATCCCCCAGCTGACATTTACATAACCATTTTGTAATTTTGACTATATGAGATAGCCGTGGTATGACAGACTGGTATTTATACCGCGTGATGACTGAAGGCGAAATGAAAATTTGGACCGCGGTCGGATTCGAACAAGCGGCCATCGGGTAGTTCACCTTTGCAGTTCCAGATGCCTACTGAAGTCTCTTAACTTCCAAACATGATACTGGTATTGTGCTAAGTAGTACTACATTACATTGGGATTTCGAAAATGTATTTCATTTGTATTATTTGATAAAATTATTGTATAGCTTGGCTCAATAGCTTTTCACTGGCCCCTCACCCATTTCTGTATGTTGTAGTTCTGCAATAATTGCTTGTTAGGTGAAATCATTTATCGTGTATTATCTCATTTTCCACACGTAAAACTAGTTGTTCAATTCTGTGATTTGTAATGCGTTGTAGACAATAGATTCAGTTGTATTTACAGATGGCTTATATCGCCAAAATATATACGGATAATGAACACAAAACTTTGTTTTCTGTTGTATGAGTTTGGGCGGGTCAGGTTGCATTATGCATCATGTGGGCGGACGGAGAAAATGAGATGTGGCAAGCGTATGTAAAATTATTCACGTGCAAGGTCAGTGTTAGAACTACTAGGCGGATACGTAACAATACTCATATACTCTTCCTTAGGAATTTGAATCCTCACTAACCA